CACCAACCGGAAGTCCCCCCGCCGCTTATTTTGATGTGTTTCCTGTAGGAAGATTACATCCGCCGCGTTCTTCTTCAGTAGGGATTCGATCCGCCTTCTCTTAATTACCGTCCCCAACCCTCTCGTGTTAAGCGTTGAAATTCTTAATTTATGGGACATCATTTCCATTTTCCTTTAAAAGCTTTTTTGTGGCTTGAAACAACGTGAACTCTTGTCCCTTTCCCTCCCCTACCCTTACTCCCCATTCCCCCCAATCCCCCCTCTTCCCTCATTCCCCCCTTCCTCCCCGTCCAATCTTCAGGACTTCTCGTCCCAATCATGGCCCCCGGCCTTCCCAGTTGGGGAGGGGGGGCGAAGTCATCCCGTGGCCCAGAGTCTCCCTCCCCCCGAGTGCTCATTTTAAATCAATAAAAAGCTTGATTGCAGTGTATAGTTTCTTCTTACATCTCGATTCCTCCAACAGCACCGATTAATTCCTCCAATTCTCCTCCATCCGGATCCTTCACCTCCTCTTCCTTTCGATCTCTCTCTTGTCTTCTTACTATGCCAAGCTCCTCCAGTAGTTGATAACCTTGTTCCAGTGTGTCGATTCTATATCTCTTGCCTTTCCATTGAAATTTAAGAAAGATAGGGTATCCCCAGGTGTACACAATTCCAGCTTTCATTAGCTGCGTCATAATAGGCTTCACTGAGTATCTCCAGTTCTTAGTTTCAGGACAGTAGTCATTAAATATTTCCAATTTTGAGTCGCCCATCTTTAGGAGATCTGGGTTCTTCTTTAATATTTTCATCAAATCTTTCTTTACGAAATTGTGAAATCGAATTATTATGTTCCTAGGAATTATTCTGTTTCTTCCAGCCGGAAGGCGATGAACTCTCTCGATATCCAGTTCTGACCAGCTTAATGTTGGCGAGATCTTTTGCAACCATTTCAAGATCTCAGATTTCAGATCTTCTTTCTTGTTTCCTTCTGGATAGTTTTTTATTATTGCGTTGTTTCTTCTTTGGTTGTCTTGCATGTACACAAACTTTCTTTCCACATCTGAGAGCCTATTTTCATTTTTTTGCATTTGTTGTTTGAGTACCAATTGTTCCTGTGTACTTCTTTCAATTTCTGCTTTGTTTTTTCGTATTTCTCCATGTGCTATCTCCAAGGCTTCTCTTATTGTCTGAAATTTTCCATCTGAGCTTTTTCTTTCTGCATCCAACTGTGCTTTCATTTCTTTATTGCTGGTCAGAATTTCTTGCTTCAATGCCTGAACTTCGCCCTTCCTTATTTCTCTTTCTTTATCAAACATCAGGTTCATGTTCAAGTTCATTTCCTTTGTTTGTCTTTCAGCCTCTCCTTTAATCAATTCTGCTATTTTGCTTAGCATTTGACTACTGCCCATCCCCAATTCTTCCCTCTCACTGCTCATCATGCTTTCTTTTGGCTCTGCTGTTAAACATGGCAGTGAGGTAGAAATAGTTCCTCCCCCTTTTGCCCCCTCCATTTGGGGTGGGGGTGAGGAGGTTTGTTTTAGCTGCTTTCCTCCCTTAATTGTGGGGAGGGGAGGACTTCTCCTGATCATGCTCATTTCTATCTATTTATCTAACTAAATAACTTCAGGTAGATAATAGACAACAAAAACAACTTGCAGGAAAAATGATTCCACCTAAGCATTAGGGAAAACTTCCTAAAAGTAAGAGCTGTTCAACAGTAGAATATATTTCTCTCTTCCATCTCTATGATTCTATAAAGAGCAGCTTAAGGGAGCTTGCATGTTCCTGTATCAGCTCAGCTCCATTTAATATTTGCTTTTGGACAGAGGAACTGAAATGAAGCATACTATGTCTTTGTCCAGTGGCTTAGGGGCCAACAGCCACTGGGAACCTGTACCCAATCCCTCTTGGAAAAATAATAATGATAACAACAACAACAATAACAAAGACCATAAAATCTATATAAATAAAAATGTAATGTTTGTGGGATTAACATAACTAAAAACCACTGGACGAATTGCCGCCAAATTTGGCCACAAGACACCTACTAACCCAAGGAGCGACCATGGCTCAAAAAAAAATTGATTTTGTCATTTGGAAGTTGTAGTTGCTGGGATTTATAGTACACCTACAATCAAAGAGCACTCCACCAATGATGGAATTGACCCAAACTTAGCACACAGGACTCCCATGACCAACAGAAGGTACTAGAAGGGTTTGGTGGGCACTGACCTTGAGTTTGGGAGGTGTAGTTCACCTACATCCAGAGAGCACTTTGGACACAAACAATGGTGGATCTGGACCAAAGTTGGCACCCATATGCCCAAATATGAACAGAGATGGAGTTTGTGGGAAATAGTCCTTGATATTTGGGAGTTGTAGTTACTGGTATTTATAGTTCACCTACAATCAAAGAGCATTCTAAACCCTACAAATGATAGAATTGGGCCAAACTTCCCACACAGAACCCCCATGACCAACAGAAAATACTTAAGGCCATCCAGTTCAACTCCCTTCACCGGGGCAAGAAAAAGTAATCAAAGCCCTCCAGACAAAAGAGCCATACAGCCATAGATATAGATAGATATGATTCACACACAGATATAGTATCATAGATTTGAAACGAACCCCTAAAGAAGGACAATTACATGTTGCATGTTCCAGAGTAGGCAAACCAGACAATCTCTACATCAGCACTGACAAAGTAACCGTTACATGCAACTCCTGAAACGATGCCATCAGCGCTGCCTCCGGAAAATCCTGCATATCTTTCGGGAAGACAAGCGGACAAATGTCAGCGTGCTGGAAGGAGCAAGGACTACCAGCATTGAAGCGATGGTCCTCCGCCATCAACTCCGCTGGACCGGCCACGTTGTCCGTATGCCCAACCACCGTCTCCCAAAGCAGTTGCTCTACTCCGAACTCAAGAACGGAAAACGGAATGTTGGTGGACAGGAAAAGAGATTTAAAGATGGGCTCAAAGCCAACCTTAAAAACTCTGGCATAGCCACTGAGAACTGGGAAGCCCTGGCCCTTGAGTGCTCCAGCTGGAGGTCAGCTGTGACCAGCAGTGCTGCAGAATTTGAAGAGGCATGAATGGAGGGTGAAAGAGAGAAACGTGCCAAGAGGAAGGCGCGTCAAGCCAACCCCGACCGGGACCACCTTACACCTGGAAACCAATGCCCTCACTGCGGAAGAAGATGCAGATCAAGAATAGGGCTCCACAGCCACCTACAGACTCACAAGAATTCTGATCCTGGAAGACTATCGTACTCGGCCAACAAGGGATCGCCTAAGTAAGTAAAGTAAGTAAGTAAGTATACAGATATGATACACACACACACAGAGATATAGTATCATAGATTTGAAAAGAGCCCCTAAAGAAGGACAATTATATGTTGCATGTTCCAGAGTAGGCAAACCAGACAATCTCTACATCAGCACTGACAAAGTAACAGCAAGAAATACTGTTTACCCACAATCATAAAGAAATTATATATATTAGAAACCAACATTTTCCCATTACTTTATTTTCTAGATCACCAGACTGGGCCACAGCAACGCGTGGCAGGGGACGGCTAGTCATATATTAAAAAACAGACTACTACTTTGTTGTTCATTCGTTCAGTCGTCTCCGACTCTTCGTGACCTCATGGACCAGCCCACGCCAGAGCTCCCTGTCGGCCGTTACCACCCCCAGCTCCCTCAAGGTCAGTCCAGTCACTTCAAGGATGCCATCCATCCATCTTGCCCTTGGTCGGCCCCTCTTCCTTTTGCCTTCCACTTTCCCCAGCATAATTGTCTTCTCTAGGCTTTCCTGTCTCCTCATGATGTGGCCAAAGTACTTCAACTTTGTCTCTAGTATCTTTCCCTCCAGTGAGCAGTCGGGCTTTATTTCCTGGAGGATGGACTGGTTGGATCTTCTCGCAGTCCAAGGCACTCTCAGAACTTTCCTCCAACACCACAGCTCAAAAGCATCGATCTTCCTTCGCTCAGCCTTCCCTAAGGTCCAGCTCTCACATCCGTAGGTTACAGGGAATACAGGGAATACTACAGGGAATACCATGGCTTTGACTAGGCGGATCTTTGTTGCCAGTCTGATGTCTCTACTCTTTACTATTTTATCGAGATTGGACATTGAGAACACTACTAATAAAATGTAAATCTAACATTTATAATGTAACATTGCCAGAAGAGATAGTATTTAATTTTAAACTCTGACAGTTAATTTTAACTGTTGAATTTCATCTAGTAGATCATTGCACAATCTTGGGCGGGCGATGAAGAGGTCCTCTGGGTGATGGGCACCAGTCGGGTTCTGGATGGTTGGAGTAGCTGCCCCCACCCCTCTATCCAGGACCTAAGTATATGGGGCGGATTGTATGGGAGAAGGCAATTCTGTATGTAACCTGGACCCAAACCATGTAGGGCTTTAAAGGTCATAATCAACATTTTGTATTTTGACTGGAAACTAATTGGCAACTAGTAGAGTAATTTTAATATAGCTGAAATATGTTCATGTTATGTGTAACACAAACTTAGGGATGCACCCGTAGTTCTTCCACACCCACTTTTTGTACCGGATCTACTAAATTGTGAGCTTGTTTTATCTTAAAATATATGCTTAGAAATGTACATGTTAAATAACTGAAAAATAATTATATAATGTTATACCACTGATCCATGACACTTGCCTTTAACGAACTCATTATTAAGAAAAATAATAATGAGCTTAATGAGTAGCTTGTAGCTTATTTTCTACAAGTTTATTCCAGCCAATATTTTGTTCTATTTTTTAATATTCAGAATTCCATTCTGTGTAGTTGACAGACATGCTTATTTTTCAATAGAGTGTGCCTATCACTGTATAAAGAAATGACTATCAAGCATTTACAGTGATTAAATCAATAAGGACAATTTGCTGAATTTTCCAGTGGATATACAAGTATTAAACATCAATGGTATCTGTAGACTTGAATAAATAATGTTTGTGAATAAAAATTAAATGGAAAAATTACCTTTGCTGTAAGAAGCAGGGCCAACAGGAGGGTGCCTATTACTAGTATAAATATGATGAATATACTAATGATTTTATCTAGCATTTTCTCCAACCACACGATCATCTGTGGAGAACAAAACAACAACAATGTTGAATACTAAGAAACCAAAGTCATGTGTAAATGTTCCCAGTCACTTCTAGCAGCCTTCCATCTCACTTATGGCAAGACTACAAGACTGGATGTCAATTTAACTATACTTTAGCAGCATGAGGGAATGACAGTTAATTTCCATCTCATTTCAACACACTCCTAGAAAAACAGTCAGAAATTTAACATTTGATATCAGAGTCAAAGAAATATCACTACATTTTCATTTTCTTGCACTGGATTATTGAATGTCCATGAAAAGGAAGACTAGTGATAAAGTGCTCCAGAAGCGACCAGAAGCGACTTGCAGCATGCAAGCAAGCAAGCAAAACAACCAATGGACCTTTTCAGGACCAACCATGACAATAATCTCAATCAACATTGAAGGCATTTCAGCTGCCAAAGAACAACTGCTCTATGAACTGTGCCAAGATAAGAAATGTGATGTGCTGTGTGTCCAAGAAACACACAGGGATGAACAACAGAAACGACCAAAAGTTCCAGGAATGATCTTAGTAGCGGAAAGATCACAATGCGCAGTATGGAAGCGCTGCCTTTGTAAAACCAGGCCTCCAAGTCAGCAGTGCCCACAACACTGAAGAAAACAATATAGAGGTTATAACAGTAGAGCTTAATAACGTCACCATCACCTCTGTGTACAAACCCCCAAATGAAGAGTTTTGTTTCTCCTCCTACGAGAACTTTGATAGGCACCAAAGGGCTGTGGTAATTGGTGACTTTAACAGCCATAACCATATATGGGGCTATGCTCAAGAGGATAAAAATGGAGAGGCTGTCCTCTCCTGGTCTGAACTGCGCAAACTATCACTCATTCACGATAGTAAGCTCCCACCATCCTACAACAGCGGGAGACGGCACCGAGGATATAACCCAGACCTCTTATTTGTGAGCGACAGCATTGTACAGCAATGCACTAAATCAGTGGGACCACTATAAGGCACAAGGAAATTCGATTTAAATGAAGATTCAACTTCAGAAAGGCAGATTGGACTAAATTCTCAGACATGTTAGATGACATGATCATATCGGTCGTGCCAATCTCTGAGAAATGCAAGCACTTTATTGAAATAGTGAAAACCTGCTCACGGGTCTCTATACCGAGAGGCTGAAGAACCAACTACCTTCAGGGCATTACTCCTGAAACAGCTGCCTTGTTGGAAAACTATTACAGGCTCCACAACGAAGACCCATTTAGTGAGCAAACCCTTCAGGTAGCACAGAGCATTCTGTCCTCCATCTCTGAAGCCAAGAAAGACCAGTGGATAAAGCTGATAACAGAGTTCGACATGGGCAGGAGCAGCCAGAAGGCATGGAGGCTGCTAAGACCCCTCACAAACGAATACCCATGCCAACATAAAGGCAGATCAGATAGCATACCAACTCTTGAAGAATGGGAAACCCAACCTTGCCACCAAAGTAGGAAACCAATAGCCAGACAACCAGAGATTGAGAACAACAACCTTCATAAACCCTTTACATCTACTGAATTGGACATGGCTCTCAATAAATGTAAAAACGGCAAAGCAGCTGGCCTGGATGATCTACGGATAGAAAAAATCAAGAACTTTGGTCTAAAAGCAAGGCGCTGGCTGCTGGAGCTGATGAACACCTGCACTGCATCCTGTCACATTCCCAAAATCTAGAGAAAAGCAAGAGTCATAGCTGTCTTGAAACCAGGCAAAGACCGTAATGATCCAAAAAGCTATAGACCAATCTCCCTGTTATGCCACCTTTACAAAAGTTCTGGAGAGACTTATTTTGCATAGAATTATGGAAAAAATAGACCCATGTCTGATTCCACAGCAAGCTGGCTTCAGGAAAGGCAAAAGCTGCACATCGCATCCTGACTCAGCACATAGTCAGCACATAGAAGATGGCTTTGAAAGGCAGCAGATTACAGGAGCTGTCTTCATAGACCTGTCAGCAGCTTATGATACTGTAAACCACCTGAGAAAAATGTATAATATCACAAAGGACTACCATCTCACCCGCCTCATAGGAAACCTGCTACAAAACAGGAGCTTTTTTGTTGAGTTTCAGGGCCAGAGATGCAGATGGCGGAAACAGAAGAACGGCTTGCCTCAGGGGAGCGTGCTTGCTCCATCCATGTTCAACATTTATATAAATGACCAGCCACTGCCAGAAGGGACAGAGAGTTTCATCTATGCTGATGATCGTGCCATTACCGCTCAAGCAGGGAGCTTTGAGATGGTTGAACAGAAGCTCTCCAAAGCTCTAGGTGCTCTTACTGCCTATTACGGGAAAACCAGCTGATCCCTAATCCATCTAAAACACAGACTTGCGTTTTTCACCTTAAGAACTGACAAGCATCCCAAGATCTGAGAATCACCTGGGAAGGAATCCCACTGGAGCACTGCAGAGCACCCAAATACCTGGGAGTCACTCTGGACCATGCTCTGACCTGAATATCAAAGCAAAAAGTGGGTGCTCGAAGCAATATCATACGAAAGCTGACTGGCACACAACCAGATCACAACCAGACACAGTGAAGATATCTGCCCTTGCGCTATGCTACTCTGCTGCTGCGTATGCATGCACAGTGTGGAACACATCTCACCACGCTAAAACAGTGGATGTGGCTCTTAATGAGACATGTCGCATTTTCACAGGGTTTCTGCGCCCTACACCACTGGAGAAATTACACTGTTTAGCCGGTATTGCACCACCTGACATCCGCTGGGAAGTAGCAGCCAATAGTGAAAGGACCAAGGCAGTGACATCTCCAGCCCATCCCCTGTTTGGATATCAGCCAGCACGTCAATGACTTAAATCAAGAAATAGTTTTCTAAGATCTACAGAGACACTCGCTGGAACACCCCAGCAAGCCAGAGTCCAAAAGTGGCAGGCTCAAACCCAGAACCTCAACCAAATGAGAGACTCCCCCCTGGGCACACAGAAAACTGGGCGACTTGGAAGGCGCTGAACAGACTGCACTCTGGCACCACGAGATGCAGAGCCAACCTTAAGAAATGGGGCTACAAAATGGAATCCACGACATGCGAGTGTGGAGAAGAGCAAACCACTGACTACCTGCTGCAATGCAACCTGAACCCTGCTACATGCACAATTGAGGACCTTCTTGTGGCAACACCAGAGGCACTCCAAGTGGCCAGCTACTGGTCAAAGGACATTTAATTAACTACCAAGCTTGCAAACTTTTTGTTCTGTCTGTCTGTCTGTCTGTTTGTTTTGTTAAAAATGTAATACAACTGTCTGGTTGCTCCTGACACGATAAATAATAAATGATAAAGTGCTAAAAGACTTTAGAGAGTAATTACTGAACTCTCTCCAGTCAACAGAAGCAAAGGGCCAAGCAAACTGGCAGTATTTTGAACATGAGTTCCCATTCACTCCTTTGTTTCTATGCAACCTTTACTGCTCACATATCAAGAATCTTTGCTCACCAATACTAATCACTGCTTTGATTTTACAGAAGCCCAGAAACTCAAGGAAATGATAAAGAAGCTTGTTAATATTTAATGATGGAAGTGGCCTAGATAAATCTAAGTATGGGCAGAACATAGGTATGAGTAAATTTAGGCATAAAGATATTAGTTACAAATATGTCTAAGTACACATGTCACTTCAATAACTTATCACTATTGCTGAAAATACAATATGGAGTTTGGCCGTTATGGCTTGCATGAATGTGAGAACTGAGAAAAGGTATAGCTTTGTTTTTTAATTCAGCTGAAATACACTCAGCAGCCAAGATTTTTATAGGGGCTCTAATTATCTCTGAAATTATTAGTGCATGAGTGGAAGCAGTTCTAATAGACAGCTCAGGAGCTGAATTCTACTGATCTAACCCTTGGCATTCCTTTAAAAGGTTTGTGGCATGTGATATTCTACACATCTCATGATACAGCTTCGAAATAATGCTCAGACATGTCAACAGAAGACAAGTCTGCTTCACAAGTAGCCTGAAACTCCTTTATTTATAACCTCTGTTCATTAAACCCCTTCAATCCCTCCATGGAACCTAAACTTTTAAAAAAAAACCCTTCTAGGTAATGGGCACAGATATTTATTTCTTTATCATGCCAGGAGCAACCAGACAGTTGTATTACATTTTTAACAAAACAAACAAACAAACAGACAGACAGACAGACAAAACACAAAGTTTGCAAGCTTGGTAGTTGATTAAATGTCCTTTGACCAGTAGCCGGCCACTTGGAGTGCCTCTGGAAGGTCCTCCATTGTGCATGTAGCAGGGCTCAGGATGCATTGCAGCAGGTGGTCAGTGGTTTGCTCTTCTCCACACTCGCATGTCGTGGATTCTATTTTGTAGCCCCATTTCTTAAGATTGGCTCTGCTCTTCATAGTGCCAGAGCGCAGTCTGTTCAGCGCCTTCCAAGTCGCCCAGTTTTCTGTGTGCCCAGGGGGGAGTCTCACATTTTGTATCAGCCATTGATTGAGGTTCTGAGTTTGAGCCTGCCACTTTTGGACTCTCGCTTGCTGGGGTGTTCCAGCGAGTGTTTCTGTAGATCTTAGAAAACTATTTCTTGATTTAAGTTGTTGACGTGCTGGCTGATATCCAAGTCATTGACGTGCTGGCTGATACCCATGTAGAAAATGAAGGAAGACTGCCTTTTCTAGATGTCCTAGTTATCCGCAAACCAGATCAACAATTGGGTCACACCGTCTACAGAAAACCCACACACAGATAGATATCTACATAAAAACTCCAACCATCACCCAAGTCAAAAAAGAAGCACCATTAAAGCCTTGGCAGACCGTGCAAAAAGAATCTGCGAACCCCACCTCCTCCAAGATGAACTGAACCACCTCAACTGGGCTCTCCGGGCCAATGGAGACTCCACCTCAGACATCAGAAGAGCTGCAAGACCAAGAACAAGCCACGAGAGTAAAGATGAAGATCCACCCAGAGGAAAAGTGTTCCTGCCATACATCAAGGGAACCAATGACCGCATAGGGAAGCTGATGAGGAAACACAACATACAAACAATCTACAAACCCACCAAGAAAATCCAACAAATGCTACGTTCAGCAAAGGACAAGAGGGATCCTCTCACCTCTGCAGGAGTCTACCGTATACCATGCAGCTGTGGACAAGTCTACATAGGGACCACCAAACGCAGCATTGCCCAACCACGAATCAAGGAACGTGAAAGGCACTGCAGACTACTTCAACCAGAGAAGTCAGCCATAGCAGAGCACCTGATGAACCAGCCTGGACACAGCATATTATTTGAGAACACAGAAATGCTGGACCACACCAACAACCACTATGTCAGACTACACAGAGAAGCCATTGAAATCCACAAGCATGTGGACAATTTCAACAGAAAGGAAGAGACCATGAAAATGAACAAAATCTGGCTACCAGTATTAAAAAACTCTAAAATTACAACAGCAAAACAGAGAGGAAACAATCAGGCACATCTTAACACCTCTCAACAGAACATTTTCCCAGGCTCAGCCAGGCCTTCAAATGCTAATGAAGGTGGTCAGTTGAAACATTCACACCTAGCTCCAGCAGAAGAGTCCTTTGTCTCACCCTGGTCATTCCACAGATATATCAACCCATTTTCCTACTTCCAACAGACCTCACTACCTCTGAGGATGCTTGCCATAGATGCAGGTGAAACGTCAGGAGAAATGCCTCTAGAACATGGCCATATAGCCCGAAAAACCCCACAAGAACCTAGTGATTCCAGCCATGAAAGCCTTCGACAATACAAAGAAACAACAAGAAATATTGTTTACGCACAAGCATCAAGGAATTACATATATTAGAAACCAACACTTTCTCATTACTTTGTTTTCCAGATCACCAGACTGGGCCACAGCAACGCGTGGCAGGGGATGGCTAGTATAATATAGTATATTGTATAGGTAAAGGTAAAGGTAGTCCCCTGACATTAAGTCCAGTCATGTCTGACTCTGGGGTGTGGTGCTCATCTCCATTTCTAAGCCGAAGAGCCAGCGTTGTCCGTAGACACCTCCAAGGTCATGTGGCTGGCATGACTGCATGGAGCGCCGTTACCTTCCTGCCGGAGCGGTACCTATTGATCTACTCACATTTACATGTTTTCGAACTGCTAGGTTGGCAGAAGCTAGGGCTGACAGCAGAAGCTCATGCCGCTCCCCGGATTCGAAACTGCGACCTTTCGATCAACAAGCTCAGCAGCTCAGTGCTTTAACCCACTGCGCCACCGGGGGCTCCCAGTATATTGTATATACATATAATATTTATAATATTATAATGTAAGACAATATAATACTTGAAATAATAATACAATATTATAAGTATAATTATATTATATAGGGTATAGGGGTGAGAAGGGCGGCATATAAATGCCGTAAATAAATAAATCAATAAATATGTTAAAAATGTAACATTTAGGCATTAACATTGTCTCTGGGTAAAGTAACACTGTTACCTGATTCTGTGTAACTGTAGCGGATCATGATCTGTGGAGTTTCTGGATCAGTTAAAGATATTCCTTTCATTTTCTTATTGTATCTTACTATTAATGTTTTGCTGGTATATTTTTTGTGTAACTAACTCTTATGTGTCTCACAAACTAACCAATATGTAACATTGAAATTCTGCCCCAGAAGTAACACTCTTACATTCTGCCAGAGCATAACCTACAAGAAAAATGTATTATTTTAAAGCAGGATCCAAATGTAGCTGATTGAGAAGGTTTGATGTACCATACCATCGCTACCACCATTTTGGGAACACATAGACCAATGTTGGGTGGGAGGGATTGAGGGAGGAGGACAGTAGGAGAAGCTAAGGATGAAAATACAGTCTAACACGTTTGTTGGAAGTGCCCTTGGTTTTCTACATTTTTAGCTTTAGAAGCAGTGGTCTGGTGCACATAGTACTTCATAAGGTATTCTAATATTCCATATTAATGAGCGTGGCATGGGAAAGCAAAGGACTGGCACCCTTGGGAGAGAAACACATAATGCACTGGATATTTTTTTTGTCGTGTCAGGAGCGACTTCAGAAACTGAAACTTGATGTTGAATTAAATGCACAAGGTAAGCAGTGTTGGCCTATTGCCCTTTATATATTACAATACAGACAGCTGCATGTAGGGATCAGAAAATGTCCCTCAATGTGTTTGTGCATGCAGAATCAGATGTGTTCCATCCAAACACCTAGAGACAGAAGGCAAAATGACAACGAGATCCAACAGCTAATTGACAAGAAAAGGAAAGTCTTCCAAACATGGCAGAGAGGCATCAACTGTGCTGCTAAGAAAAAGATCTATACCAGTGCAAAAGCTGAGGTCCAAAGAAGGACAAGAGAACTCAAGAACATCTGGTGGACAAAGAAGGCTTAAGAAATCCAACACCTGGCAGATACCAGGCCTGGGTAACGACGGAAAAAATTGTTTCTAAAATCGATTCGTTTTTTGGGGGTTTTTGCGTTTCGATATTTAAAAGAATTCCGAAATTTTTCTTTTAAAAAGTTCGATATTTACGAAATTTCGTAAATGTAAAAAAAATTACGAAACATTAACGAAACAAATACGAAACAATAACGAATCGATTCGTTAATGGCGGACGCGACCGCGCAATACGCTAAAAAACCTCCAAATGGGACAGGGGGAACTTCTGAAGCTTCCCTCTCTCTCTGTTGTTGACTGTTGGTGTGATATTATAATTTTTTTCACTAATTAAACAAAAAACAACTATAAAACTTTCCCCAGACATGCGGAAATAATAACGAAACAACCTCAAACCGATAACGAAATGAATACATAACGAATCTGAAGCATTTACGAAATGAATTTAAAAATTCGTTTCATTTTTAAGTTGCTCCAGAATGGTTCGTTATCTCTTCGTTATAAAAAAAATAACGAATTTTTAACGAATTATGAATTAACGAAACGAAACCGCCCAGCCCTAGCAGATACCCATGATGCTCAGGGATTTTTCAAAGCCACAAAGGTCATCTATGGACCAAGAAACCATGGCATACAGCCCCTAAGCTCATCAGATGGAACCAAACTTCTGAAGGACAAAAAATCAATTGCACCACATTGGAAAGAACACTACTAAATCCTCCTGAATTGCAGCTCCAATGTGGCCGAAGAGGTTCTCTCACAAATCCTGCAACATCAAAGCAGGGATGAGCTTGCAGCAATGCCATCAGACAACAACAACAACAAAAAAAACAAAGCCAGCGGACTTGATGGGATCTGCTGAAATCTTTAAAGAGGGAGGACCTGAGCTGACACAACAACTCCACCAGCTCATAGAAAAAGTGTGGGTGACTGAGAAAATCCCAGCAGATTTCAAGGATGCCACCATGTACTCATGAGATTTAACATTTCTTCCGCCATTCAGAAATATGTGTGTGTGTATACATATATATTAATGTGATTGGAGATGGCATTTGATTTCATTGTACAATGACAATAAAGTTATTCTATCCTATTTATTGTTTCCCCCCAGTGATTTCTCATTCAAATGAGTGATCAGTTCTGTGTCTGTTTAGATTATTTTTAGTTTTATTAACAAACTGAAGACCTCCATCATCACAGCCTGTGAAAAAGCTATTGGATGAAAAACGAAGAAACATCAAGATTGGTTTGACGAAAATGAAAAGTTGTTCAGAAGAGGTTTGTCATTGCCTTTCTCTGAGGTTTAGAAAGTGAGAAATCATAGGTGATTTTCATGGTTGAATGGGGATTCAAACCCTGGTCTCCAGAGTCATAGCCTAAGGCTCAAACTACTATACCAACCTAATCTTTCCTTCAATAAAACATTTAGATATATGATGGCATAAGATACAGAGTAAGTACCCACGTTTTGTCCTTATATAGTGATTTGTACACATGAGGACTACCAAAGAAATAAGAGATAAACATTAGTTTTGACTGTCCATTAGCCACTTTTGTTCTACTGGTTTGAATTTAATTTTGAAGAGCTATGTCTGACCTTCAACTCCTCTATTGACACACAAGGAAATACTGTTTTTAAAGTGGTCTTCTTGAAAAAAAACAACTCTCGTATATTTTACAACTTAACTGCAATCTGAAATATGTTTTTGCTACTTATCACCCAGACGACTTCCTATCTGATCAAGTATGCTGAAAGGGGAAATATGTGCATGGAAGAAAGTAAGATAGTATATCATCACTTGGCCCATTTCAATGGCTTAAGGCACTTAAGGACTATGCCTATAATAATTGTAAACAGAACACAGTTACATATAAAAATGCAAATATTACATGTTCAATGTATGTGCATGTTTAAAAAATGCATGGAACTTGAGATGATTAAACTTTTAATAGAAACAGGACAGAACTTCTACAACCTCTTCTCCAATTCAGAAACAATAAAGGGTGGGAGGTGGGGGGGGGGGGTAAGGAGCTTAAATGACCCATTAAGACTCTGAATTTTAAAATAGCTATCAAACCAGACAACTTTATGTTCTCTTTTAGAAACATTCCATTCACAAACAATAGTTAAAGGTATTGGATGGAATTACATGATGAGAATTTCCCAAGAAGGGGTAGGAGGTGAAAAGTAAAGTTTAACTTTTTCACCATTCAGTCCTATTCCTGCACTGTATCATTCCTGTCTTCAGGGAAGTGATATCACTTAAAATCAGGAATTTGTAAGCTTTCCACATAGCTTTGCATAACTATTCCTTAGGTTCACATTTTCGGTTGCATACAATCATGAGCTATACACAAATACCACAGTTAAATGTCAGTAGGCAATACACAATCCTCTTGTATGACAGTTAATCAAGAATGCCAGATGAATTAGATGGCACTGAATGATCTTCTGTAGCTTATATCATGATGCAAATGAAGAGCAAGCCATGTTGCCAACAAAAGCAAAATGGACACAACAAACACCTTTCATGCCGAAAATATATTAACTATAAAGTAAACTCTCTACTTATTTACCTTCTTATTAAGCCAATGGCACAGCTTGGGAGAAGGAAAGTAGAACAGAGAAGAGAAAAGACAAGACAGGGAATGATTATTGAAGAATGTCACTGCAGTACGAGAATGAAACAAAACACACAAAGTTTTTAAAGGAATGAAATAGCAAGATCCCAGACTCAAGAGGTTCGTTGCAGTAGGAAGGGAGTGGTAGAAACAATCAAAACAATTTTCAACCCGGAAAAATGTGGTATATTTAGAAAAACACAGCACTGCTAGCTGATATTCTTAAGCTAAAGTATGCTAACTATTGTTAACCAATTTATGAATGACAACATTACACAAAGATGGCAAACTATGTAAAACATTATTGAGATGCTTAAAGATTCACCCAATTAAAGAGATGGAGAAATTTATCTCCCCACAATTTAATAAGCAATTGGTGTACGAATTAGGGCACCAATAGCAGGAAAACAAGGATGCTTGAAGACTAGCACTGTGTTTTCTGGTAACTTTCACGCTGATGCAATATACGCTGCCGAAGAATACAGATGGGTCCCTACAGGAAGACTATTTGCTACAAAATTAATTATCTAAATAACCTTAATAAGCTATGCTTTGGTATACTCTATGACGATGATTACAATAGTTATAGATGAATCGGTAATTCTGATCTGGTTACTACTAAAATCACAGAAGTCAGTCACCTCAATAAAACAATTAAATTGGAATTAAACGAGTTTTATGGCAGAGTGTTTACAATGCTTCCTCCTATTGTAATTGGTTAACTCTTCACTCAAGTCTCTCCATACTATCCAGTGGCATTCTGCTATTGCCAGAAAAAGGAAAGAGAAATTCCTTAAATATCATACTTAAGAAAATGCTACGTATGCATAATTGCAAAACTCATTTTCTGTGTTTGTGTTGCTGTGCTTAACACTCCCTTGTCCTTTGGGAAAATATTAGTTGGATAGAGCTAATGAGTGACTAACTCTACCAAAGAATTGTTGTACTCAAATTGAAATGGAGCAGGAGAAGAATGCATTTTCATTAATATTTGGTGAAAATAATTTTTTTCTGGTTGGCTATTGACACTGCACTCTTTTTTACCTGTTGCTTGTGATTTCTGATATCACTCTGTTCTGCCCTAGTAGCAGGGCCTCTGAGCACCAATCAGATATTGTTCTCTAATCTGTGTACATTCAGTAATCTTAAACAAGTACATGTTCAGTATCCTGATACTTCTGGTCGCCCCTACAATGAGTGATCAAAATCATTGTTTGTTAAACTGTGGGTACTAGCCCCTAAATGGGGGCCCCCACAGCTCAAGAAAAAATTGGCAACAGCAAAGGGTTTCTGAACGCCACCCATTTACTCTAATCTATTAGTAACAATTTGTAGCGTTTATAGTGGACTCTGCAGAAAATATTTCAGCTGTACTCTACAAAAAGAGAAATGGGCCTGTTTAGCAAGCCTTGCAAATACAGTAAATGATTTATTTTATATACCTTAGTCATGTAAACATTTATCAAGTGGAAAGGGGTCACTAGTAGAAAAAGTTTAAGAAGCCCTCATCAAAGTGACAAAGTGATAAGAAAATAGCAATTCACTTAAGTATTCAAATTCATGACTTCCGGCGGGCAAGCCTCGTTGAGGGAGCTCCCGACGAGGACCAGCATTGTGGCGGCTTGAGTGAGTGTGAGGCTCCCCACCTTTGCCAGATTGAGAGCAAAGGTGCAGTGAACCCGACCAGGGCTCGAAGACCCCAAAGATCCCCATTCCCTCAAGGAGGGGAGATCGAGTGGGTCCGAGCTGATTGTGGGAGGACAGACGCCCTGCTGGGATCGAGCAGTATGCTCGTTTTAACCGCCGCCTGCCCATTTTACTAAAAGAACAAGAAGAAATTTAAGAAATCTCTAACGAGAAGAAGGAAAGAAGATTTCACCTTCAGGTAACGGGGAAAGACCCCCCAAATCAAGAAAAGGAACAGGAGAAAGAAAGGATAATTGAGAAACAATTAACGACTGGGGAAGAGATCCCCATTTAGTGAGCTAATTAACCCAGCAATGTAACTTTATTTGATCAATTTTTTAATCCGTTAAACTTATATTGAATAAGCACTGCAAAATGTGTTTGAAAAAAATGAGGTAAATTGGAAAAGAAGAATTAGAGGAAAGTAAAAGAACTGTAAAGCTAGATCACTACTAATAATTTGCCGCGAGACAGCCTTCCCTTCCCTCCTTTCCCTTCTTCCCGCCTAATATAAAGATTATTATAAGTAAAAAAGACTTGCTGACCTTGGCGCCATATTTTTATGGCTAGCAGCTGTCCTTCTTCAAAAACAAATCTGGAAAGCGAAGGAAGTGACAGAGTGGAAGAATGCGGGATAGAAAGGAAGAGGCGGTACCAAAGGACTCAGGGCAGAAGTGGACTCAGAGAAGGGCGGAAACAGGAAGGAGGAAGGAATATAACATTAAGAAACCATAGAGGAATAACGATACAGAGCGGCTAGAGAAAAAAAAATCAAAGTTTAAAAGATACAATTTTTTTTAAAAATATCCAGGATGAGAAGCAGACGGGGACGTAGAACCATTGAGGAAGAGAAGCAGACAGGAACCCAGGATGAGAAGAAAACGAAATCAACGAAGATAAGTGGCGGAGGGGGAGATCGAGGAAGAGAAGCAGACAAATCCAGGACGAGAAGAAGATGAAACCGAGGCAGCCAGCTTGCGGAGGGATAGATCGAGGAAGAGAAGTAGACGAATAGAAAAGGCTCAAGGAAGAGAAGAGAGTTGAGAAAGTAGATGAATGAATTGATCAATTTAAATTAAATTAAATTAATTTAAAGTGAGAGAAGAAGGATAAAGATTAGTGGCTTTCCATATTAGTCTTTCAAATCAAAGCAATTAATTAAATTAAATTAAATCAATTAATAAATTAGGAAATTAGTAAAAATCTAATAATTTAATAAGAAATAGAGAATCAATTTTGAAAGATTGGAGACATTCAGTAAACTTATATTTATATTAAGTAATTAATTAATTAAATATAATTTGTAATAAATATTAATGGGTATATTAATAAATATTGCCATTCAGTTTAATTACAAATTTTAGAAAGGAAAAGGGGATATCAAACTGTCAGAATTTGCTTTTAGATCTCTGGCATAGTGAAACTAAGACATTTGGACAATAGAAATCTTATACAATTAGATGACATCGAAAGGGAAGACAGATAAAGAAAAAGACACGTATTTATACAAGGAGAGCTTCGTTGGATACTAATTTAAATATGGATAACATACTGAAAGAAATAAAGAAGCTGTCGAAAAAGCAAGATTCATTAAAGAAATATGTGACAGATAATTAAGAAGAATACTTTAAAAAGCAAGAACAGAACTATAAGAAAATGATGGAAGGATTCAAAGAAATAAGAAAGAAATGCAAGAAGAATTTGGACAAATTAAAAAGATATAATTCAGTTATATGGAGACGTTAAAGAATTGAAAAGTAGCAAGGATAAAACTGAAGAAACACAATCCCAGGCTTTGAAAAAGATTAAAGGTCTAGACAAACAAAAGGAAAAATTAGAATTTGAACAAGAAAAATTATTACAGAGGCAAATGGACTATCAACTAAGGTTTAGAAATATCCAAGAAGAAAAGCAGAAAGATATCGGACAAATTATAACCAAATTAATTGTGAAATGTATGGATTGCGAAGAAGTCGAATTGGAGCAAGAGTTGGGCCAAATTGATAGAATTTTCTCATTTTATTCCAGAAAGAATAAAACGGCAGGAGATGTAATAGTACAATTTACAAGGAAAAAAATTAGAGACGAAGTTCTTTACAAAAGCAACAAAAATCCCATTTACTTTAAAGAAACCAAAATTGCCGTTCTTAAAGAATACCCTCAAGTGACACTAAACAGAAGAAGGAAATACTATTTCCTTACTGATGAACTTAAAAAACGAGCAATTCGATTTAGATGGGAAAGAATGGAAGGCATCATGGTGACGTGCAAAGACGAGAGGTATTGGTTAACGTCTGAACAGAAAGCTAGAGTCTCCTATGAAAAATTAATGTAAGAAACAGAAGAAAAACAAGGAGAGAAGAAAGGAGACAGAAATGCACTTACCCCTAGCAATGGTAACATAACTAAGAAGGCGAGATACGACTTGCCGAAAGATTACGATTCCCTCATAAAGGGACAAGGACGAAAAACATCGACATCACAAGACCTAGGTGAAGGAGCATATGGACTGGATGAGACGGCACTGGGACTATCGGAATTGGACCTTGGTAACATGGGATCCGACACTGATGTGAATGAATAAAATGGAGGAACGACAAATAAAATGTTTTTCAAACAATATAAATGGCTTGAATTCACCCAGAAACGCAAAAAGGCATTTGACAAACTACGAAAGGTGAATTATGATATAATTACTCTGAAAAAAATGCATATTTGCCATAAACATGTAGCACATCTATCAAATAAAAATCTGGGAAAGTCTTATTACTCCTCTTTTGAGAAAAAGAAGAGGAGTGGTTACCTATGTGAAAGAAAATTTAGTATCAGAATTGGCATTCAAGGATTTAGAGGGAAGATGTGTCGCGGTCAAAATTTCAATGGGAGATTTGAAAATTCTAATATGTAACATATATGCTTTGAATGGTCCAAAGACTAAATTTATTCAATTTTTGCATTCAAAACTGAAAGAAACTGAATTTGATGAACTTATTTTGATTGGCCATTTTAATGGAATAATAAATAACCAAAAAGATAAAAAAACACACAAACAAAAAGGAACGGGGTGTAATAAGGACTAACGACCGTTCCGCTGTTGGTAGGGGGGGAAAACCTTTCTATCCCACCGCTGCCACCAATGTAATAAGGAGATTAAAGGACCGAGGTGTCCCTTACCACACCTGTGTGACAGGAATTTGCTTGAGGGAATAACTAAAGATATTACAGACCGATGATTCTGGTAGATTTTTGCCGCCACCACCTCAATTGTATTGTTTGAGGAAATAAAGGTGTGA